TTTTTTGTAGAGATGGGTTTTTGCCACATTGGCCAGGCTGGTCTCAAACTCCTGGCCTCAAGTGATCCGCCTGCCTTGGCCTCCCAAAATGCTGGGATTACAAGCCTGAGCCACTGCATTTGGCCGGCTCATCTAATGTTGACAGGTGTCTTGCCTCCCTCCTTATCTCTGTTCCCAGCTGGCACTTCTACTACAAATGGGATTTCTTCATGTAACAGAAAATGGTCTCCCATCAGCCCAGCTTACATTACTTCAGTGTTGCTGGCCACTCTGTCTTCTGGAGCTCAGATACAACACGCCTGAGAATGTTCTCACAGGCTCATTTTACATCAGGGGTTCCATCCTTAGACTAGTTACAGCCCAGGAAACTGTGGTTCTCTGATCAGAGAGGATTTCCCCATGGGCTCTGTTTCTAGAAAAAGGAGGGGTACAGAGCAGATAAAACCAGCACAGTCCACTACACCCCCAACCACGAGGGCACATTCATTCAGTCGCAGGTGTCTTCCCCCTGCCTGAAATACTCTCCAAGCCCAACCCACTTGACAAACCTCGGCTTTTAAGACCAAGCCTTCCAGCACACACTCGCTCATACTCATCCCTTAACAGAGTTGAATCCATCCTTTGGGCCACCTTTGCCCCTTGTACATGCCTCAGTTATTTCACTCACTCGCTCACTCACCCACTCACTCCCTCCTTTGTTCATTTAACAAGTGCTGGCCGGGCATAGTGGCTCACGTCTGTAATCCCAGCACTTTGGGAGGCTGAGGCAGATGGATCACCTGAGGTCAGGAGTTTGAAACTAGCCTGGTCAAAATGGCAAAACCCTGTCTCTCCTGAAAGTACAAAAATTAGCCGGGTGCGGGTGCACGTGCCTGTAATCCCAGCTACTCCAGAGATTGAGACAGGAGAATTGCCTGAACCCAGGAGGCAGAGACTGCAGTGAGCCAAGATCGCACCATTGCATGCCAGCCTGGGCAACAGAGCCAGACTCTGTCTCTCAAAAAAAAAAAAAAAAAAAAAAAAAAGTGCTTAGGGCACGTTGCACCCAACTCCTGTTGGGTTGTGAGTTTCTTAAAAGCAGGAATCATCCCTGTCATCTTGGGATCTCCAACCTTTGCCAGAGTGCTTGGCCCACTGTCAGGGTTTGGTAACTACTGGAGGTTACAACCTTAAATATTGGGGTGACTGCAGTACTTGGCCACCCCCTGGCCACATGGAGAGCCTGGGGTGCCGGGTACAGAGGGAGGAGCTGAATGCCACAGGTTGTCCAGCTCAAGTCAGTAATTTCTCTATGGTCATTGTAAATCCATCATACCCTAGACTTTCAAGAAGGACTCTGTGCCTTCTGTAGCAGTGAATGGCAGAATTCAAACTATAACACATGCCTGGTTTGACCTGATATATTGTGCATGGGAAGTGGTTATTTTTCACATGTTAGATCTGATACTCTTAAGAGGTCGTGGCAGCCAACTTGAATGCCCTGTGGTTATGAATTTCTTCGTAGTGTTACTTGTTACCTTGTAAGGCAGCCCTATAAGGGGCAACTCGCTGTCTCCTGGCTACTTTGTCTATCAGTTTAGTTTTTTTCTCTAGGACCACAGGGAAAGTGATCCCTCACCTTTCCAGTGGCCATTTCACATCATGTTCATTCATTTATTCATGTGTTTATATATACATCCATTAATGCAATCATTCATTTAAAAACAGTTTTAAGGCCTATTTTGTTCAAGACAGTCAAGTCCTCTGTTCCCATTGAGCTGACATCTTTAAAGAAGAGAACTAGACAGTTAAGCAACTAATCAAACAAACAGGAGAAATAAAATTGTTACAGAGCCATGAATAAAGATAATAGGGCAAAGTGAGGGTTGGGGCAAATTTTGATAGAGTAGATAGAACGATGGCTTTGAGGACACGGCACCTACACACAGTGTGGGAGAAGAGCATCCAGGGAATTGAAGAAAGGGAAGGTGGTCAGTGTGGCTTGCGTGGCAGGGAGGGAGGGGAGAAAGAAAGAAAATGAGGATGGAAGGCTGAGCAGGGTGGTCCATGCCTGTAATTCCAACACTTTGGGAACCTAAGGCAGGAGGATCACTTAAGTTCAGAAGTTCAAGACCAGTCTGCATAACAGCAAAATCTCATCTCTCCAAAAAAAAAAAAAAATAAAAAAAAAAAAATTACTGGATGTGGTGGTGCGCACCTGTAGTCCTAGCTACTTGGGAGGCTGACGTGGGAGGATCGCTTGAGCCCAGGAGTTTGGGGCTGCAGTGAGTGTGATGACGCCACTGCACTCTAGCCTGGGCAACAGTGTGAGACCCTGTCTCAAAAAATAATAATTTTTTAAAAAGAGAAGAAAATGAGGATGGAGTGGCAGGCAGGGGCCAACCCATGTGGGACCTTATAGCCATGATAAGGTGCTAATGATCTCTTGTCAGAAAGAGAGAAGCCTTTTGAGGGTTTAAAACAGAGGAGTGATGTATAATTTTGCAAGAGCACTTTGAATGTGGGACCTTGAGGTAGATTTCCAAATCTGTAAAGACAATGAGGAACTGCCTGCTACTTTTATTTTGAGGAATCAGAAAGGTTCTGATTTAGAGGTGAGTTTTGGAAGCCCTGGAGAGAGAGAGCACCATAATACCTGGAGCCAGAGTCGAGCATCCCAAAACAAGTCATGGGATTCTCCTCTTGGAAGGTCGTCTTGGAAGGACATCCTCCTTTTCTAGATAGCCAGGTTTGGTATTCTTTGTTTTTCCCATGTCCCTCTTATGAATTCTCAGCGACGAGGGAAAAAAATAGGAGGCAAGAGACCTTTCACTATTTCCTCATGGAGAAGGATGTCGTATCCTTCGCTGCCACTGCTGTCTGTGATGGAACCCACGCTGCCAGGGAGGAGTGGATATCTCATTGTCAGAACCAGGGTCATGGACAATGTGTTTATGTGTTGTTTTTTAAGATGCACATCCATTTAAAAAAAACACACACACAGACAAGTAAGCATCTAGTAAAAACATTGCCACACATGATGGATAAAGGGCAATATCCTTAATACACAGAACTCACCTCAGTAGGAAACAAGAGGCCCTATTTTGTTTTGAATGGAAAAGGATGTGAACAGACTTTTATAGAAAAGAAAATGCAGATGGTTAATAAAAAGTGTTTAATTTCACTAGAATCGGAGAAATGCAAACTCAAACAATAGCAGGATACAGGGTGTCTTTTGAGGGGAAATTCTGTTGTCAAATTGAAAAACAGTATTTTTCAAAAACTGCAGTGCTGGTAAGGCTGTAATGAGATGGACACTCAAAACAGTTTGTGAGATGTACCTTCAAAAGGGGACTTTTTTGGGGTATCTTACAAAAAGCTTATACCCTTTAATCCATTAATCCCACTTCTTAGGATCTATCTTATGACAATAATTTAAAATAATGGCACTGATTTTTATGTAACATATTGGAAATAGCCTATATGATAATAGTAAATGATTGGTTGACTTAATTATGATATATCATTCAGTGAACTATTGTGTAGAAATTAAAAATTATATTTTGGAAGATATTTTTGGTAGTAGAGAAAAATATTTACACTATACTATTATGTGGAAAACATTAAAATCAACTAATAGAAAGTATGGAGCAATTATGAATGTGAATGTATGCCATATACATTGAAATTGATCATTGGATCAAAAAGGTATATATAAAAGTTGTTAGGAGTTTCCTCTGCATTGTAAAATTATGGGTACTTTGTTTACTTCTTTGTATATGCCAAGGAATTTTTGTTTTGTTATGCACAAGGAGTGTGTATTACTTTTAAAATCAGATAAAAGTAGCAAATGGTTATAAGTGGTCCCTATTGCCCCAGCCTGGGCAACATAGCCAGACCCCGTCTCTGCAAAATAGAAAGCAGTAAGTGCACCTTATTGCCTGTCAGAGACACACCCACAGTCTCCCTTCATTCCTTCTTCCATCACTCTGTTGCTGTAATTCCAAGATTCTAACCCTAACCCTAACCACAGAGTGATACGAATACTGTCATACCCTTTTGAATGTCGGCATCATTTCTACAGTGAGACTGATTTTTTGTGTGTGATTTAAAAGTAAGGAATCCAAAAATAGTTTGATCTTTGGTGGTATGAATCAAACAATGTGTGAATCCTCCTGGGGCCCTGTGATGGAGTCAAAAGCATGTGGACTTGGAGCCAGATGACCTGAGTTCAAATGCGGCTCTCCTGCTCCCGAGCGTTGTGATTCGAAAAGTTCATAATTTCCCTGGACTGCAGTGTTTCCATCTATAAAATAGGGAGACGGTCCAGACCTTTACCCAGGTCTGTTTGTGAGCACTCATCAGGATCCTGTCTGTAGAGAGACCTAGCAAATAGCCTGGCATGGACTTGGCCATCAAACCCATACTCTTGCTGCTTTCCAGAGGTTGCTACTTGAACCAAAAAAACAAGACATGTTGGTTGATTTGAGATCTGCAGGAACAAGAGCTGGAGCTGTGAGGCTACACAGACCCGGCCCTGCTGCCCCTCTGCAGCGTATCTTTTTGAACGAGTGGCTTTGTCTTCCTGAGGGTCAGGGTGCTCGTTTGTGAAATGGGAGTTGATGATAACACTCACCTCCTAGGGCAGTTGTCCTCACCATAGATAATACATACATTCAGTAGAGTGCGTGGTACCTTGCAGAATCTCAGTTGATTCACTGAGTTATTTGATATATTTTTTTCTGGTTGCAAGTGAAATACATGTTCAATGTAGGGAATTTAGGAAAGAGCCTTTAAGAGAGAGAGAGAGAGAGAGAACGTATATAGTGCTTCCAGCCCTTTGACTTGATGGTGGAGTAGCTGTGCCTTTGCACCTAACCGCCCTCATCCCCTACCCTCTCCCTGTTCTGAACTAAGCTGCCGGCCTGCAGTCAGTGCTATCATCCCCAGCAAACTGTGGCCGGACGCCCTGGTGTTTCATCAATGCCCCAGTGTGGTAACACTGCTCTTGGCTCTCTCAGCAGATCCTTCAAGCCAGACTTCATCCTGGTCCGCCAGCACGCCTATAGCATGGCCCTGGGGGAAGATTACCGCAGCCTGGTCATCGGCCTGCAGTATGGAGGGCTGCCTGCTGTCAACTCTCTCTACTCCGTCTACAACTTCTGCAGCAAGCCCTGGGTGGTAGGTGACAGGGCAGGCTGACCTGGAGGGATCTGGGAGGCAGTGGGTAGCCTCCCACTCTGCGACAAGCCCACTCCCTAGCATGGAGGCCTCAGTAGTAAAAATTCTTATTTAAGCAACTGAACTGAACTTGGATCCTAGGGCTCTTGTTGGAATTGTTGCCTAACAATGATATTAATGTTATATTTTATATATTATTATGATAAATATTTATACACCGGGCACGGTGGCTCATGCCTGTAATCCCAGCACACTGGGAGGCCAAGGCAGGCGGATCACCTGAGGTTGGTAGTTGGAGACCAGCCTGACCGACATGGAGAAACCCCATCTCTGCTAAAAATACAAAATTAGCCACGCATGGTGGTGCCTGCCTGTAATCCCAGCTACTCGGGAGGCTGAGGCAGGAGAATCCCTTGAACCCGGGAGGCGGAGGTTGTAGTGAGCCAAGATTGTGCCGTTGCATTCCAGCCTGGACAACAACAGCGAAACTCCATCTCAAAAAAAAACTTTTAATAAATACATACATATATATTAATATATACATATTATATATTATACATGTTACAGGTAACATATGATATATTATTTACATATATGTAATAATAATTGATCTTTGTAATATATAATATATAATACAGTGATACAATATATACTATTAATAATAATATATAACAAAAGATATTATTATATAGCAACATATTATGATATGGTGTTACGTTATAACATTAGTCATAAAGATGTGCCATATTGTTTTATGGACATTCTATCATTATTGTTGTTAACAGCAGACCCCATTTATTGAGCACTTACTATGTCCCAGAAAACTATGCTACCTAGCACTCATACGGTCATTCTCATGTGAAGTGAGTGTCACCCCTTCGTTTTACAGAGACAGAAGCTCAGCTTCAGGCCAGTTAAGGAGCTTGCTCAGTGAGTGGTGAGGCCAAAACTTGAGCCATCTCTCCCCAACACCCAACATTTAATTTCTCTTCTTTTATTCCTTAGTTTCAGTCATTCATTCCATTTATTTGAGTTTCCATCCAAATGTTACCTATAAGAAAGACCTCTTAAAATACTACTCCTCGGCCTAGCATGGTAGCTCACGTGTGTAATCCCAGCACTTTGGGAGGCCGAGGCAGGTGGATCACAAAGTCAAGAGATCGAGACCATGCTGGCCAACATGATGAAACACCATCTCTACTAAAAACATAAAAATCAGCTGGGCGTGGTGGCACATGCCTGTAGTCCCAGCTACTGGAGGCTGAGGCAGGAGAATCACTTGAACTTGGGAGGTGAAGGTTGCAAAGAGCCCGGATCAGCCACTGCACTCCAGCCTGGAGACAGAGCGAGACTCTGTCTCAAAAAAAAAAAAAAAAAAAAAGAAAAAATACCACTCCTCCACTTGCTCAAGTACTCTCAAATCCCTTACCCTGCTTTATTTTTTTCCTCGATACTTATCTCCACCTAGAATGATAAATTCATCCATTCGTTTGTGCATTATCTGTCTCTATGATTAGAAGTTATTCATTCACACAGCAAATACTTCTTGGGCACTTACTGTGTTTCTGGTACTGTCCTAAGTCCTAGAAACATAGCAGTGAACAAGTCAGACCAAAATCCCTGTCACGTAGATCTTACATTCTAGTGAGCAGGGGCATGTGTGGTGCTTTAATACATATGCAATATGTCCTGTGATCAGTGACAAGGGGGAAGATCAAGGATGGAAAGAGGATGGGTAATGTGGAAGCTGGGGGGTATGTAGATTGTGCTCTGTGAAGCTTATAGCTGTCTGGTCTGGGGTGTTTTGCTATCTCTCTGTGTGACCACCCAGTGGTGTAGGGTGGTGGTTGAGAGTGTGAGCTCTGAAGCCAGATTCCTAGGTCCAGGCTTCTCCACTTATGAGCTGTGCTACCTTGAGCAACCCCCTTAACCTCTCTGAACTTAGCTTCCTTATTTAGAAAGTGGTGATAGTAATAGAGCCTTCCTGGCAGGGTTATGATTTAATAGATGAAAGTGCTTAGAATGTGGCTGGCACAAAGTACACACTCAATAAATGGTAAAAATTATCACTGCCTTCGGTACTTGAAACAAGTTCCATGTAGAGTTGGGACACTCAGTACTTACTGAATGGCTACATGCATTAATTTAGTAGGTATGGGTAGACTTTACCACTATCGTCATGGCCCTGGTCTCTTTCTCATTCTGCCCTAACTGGGCTTTTTGGCCAGTGGCATCCAAGATTTTCAAGTGCCACTGTTAGGAAAGGGTCCTAGATAGTGTTAGCCCTTCCCCACCTTTTTCTGCGGTTACCACGATAGTAGCAACCACCATTCATCAGAACTAACTGTTAACTATCCTGAGCCCTTAACATGCATATTGTGTTTAATTCTCAGCACCCTTATGAGTAGGAGTGCTAATATCTCTATCTTACAGATGAGGAAACTGAGGCTCACATAGCTAGTAGTAAGTGGTAGAGCTAGGCCTCTTCAAAAGTCATGTGCTTACCTGTGGAATCACTCTCCCTTTCTGGACTCCAATTTCCTTGTCTGCAAAATGGGGGACCCCACACACACGTATCATTTTCCATATTTCTGAGTTCTCCTAAACCTTCCAAGTTGACCCCCTGTTGTGCTGCATCTGAAGGCCACCCCCCAAGGGTTTGTAAACCAATCCTGGGCGGATGCAGAAAGTTCCTAGTTACTCTGTTTTCAGTGTCCAGGCTCTTAGTATTGAGTGGCTTCCAAGTCAGCTTGGCCACTCCTTTAACCACTGGGCATCCACATGGGACCACAAATTCCAGTTGATTCCTTTACCTTGTTCAGAATCTGATTTGCCCTTCTCTGCGTATATCCACCAGCAGCTCTCCTTCACCTTCTGGGTGAATTCTAAGCTTTCTGGTCAGGCCTTTTAAGGCTGGTGGTCCGTGATGGATCATGCTTTGACCTCGTCTCTCTCATCATCACCTGCAACTGACACCACAGCATGGCAGCTGCAGAGGGTCTCCAGCACACAATAGTCTCAATGCACAGCTGGAGGGCCCTTTCTCCTTCTCTTATGTCGTCTGCTCCAGGGAATCATCCTGACTCCCTACTCTCTCCCCCTTCCAGGTCCCATCACCCCCTATGCTTCCCTCCAGCAAGACATTAGTATCACAGCCATGCCCCTGTCTTCCCTCAGCCCTTGCTCCCCATGTTCAGCTTGTTGCTCCGATAATAAAGCATAGTGATAGAGCTCACCTTTGAGCTCTGGAGACAATAGCTAATATCTGGCAAAACAAGCAAGTGTTGAAGCAGGAAGAGAGCAGTGGGAAGGAATGTGGCTTGAGTTGTTGGAAATAAGAGGAGTTGCAACAGCAGAGAAAATATTTATTAATAATAACACCTAGCATTTTAACATTGCTGTGAACAAAGCACTGCCTTTGGCACACTGTATCCTTACAACAATCCCATGAGGTTGGATCTCCAGTTTACAAGTGAAGAAACCAAAGCTCAGAAACCTGAATTGACTTCCCAGGTTATACAGCTAGTAAGTGGCAAAGCAAGAATTAGAACCCAGGGAGGCTGGATCCACATCTAACACCATCAGTTACCATGCAAAGCTGCCTCTCTAGAAAGAAGACATTGCAAGCAAGGAGCAGGGCATGAACATCAGCAGGTGGAGAAGGACCTTGTGTGAAATGCTGAGGCTGTAATAAGTGCTCATTAAATATGGTTGAACTGAACCCAGTGTGCTGCCTACTTACTAGGTCTTGGGCAGAAATGGAGGGGTTAACATGGCTGGATGATGGAGAGGATGAATGTCCAGCCAAGGAATCTGGTCTTTATCCTATAGGCAGGGAGCACCTACTGAAGCTCAACTCAGAACAGTCGATGCTTGAGGCCTCAGATCAAGTGGGAGGTTTTGCCCTACTGGGTAACAATGGTTGATCAATGTTCTTTCCTCTTCTATCCTAGTTCTCTCAACTCATTAAGATCTTCCATTCCCTGGGTCCTGAGAAGTTCCCGCTTGTGGAGCAAACATTTTTCCCCAACCATAAGCCAATGGTGAGTGCCCTTTTTTACTCTATTTCTTTGCGTGATGTGGAGTGAATACAGATGTCTTGTCCTCAGTCCCTTTGGATGAAGGAGGTGGACTCTAGGGGTTGTACACTGACCACGCAGACTCTAAGGCGGAGTCACAGTGTCCTGTGGGAGTGCCTGGATTTCCTAAGGGAAATCATCTCTCCAGGTGAAATTCGGGCAGTAGGGCAAATGACAAAGGTGTACCACATTCCTTGGACCTTGGAGATTTTCCGCAAATCAGGGGACAAGTTCTGGGGGCGTGTTGGAGCCAGAGGCTGATTATAAAGGTAAAAGGTGTTTTCAAGGTGAGATGTTGTTTTACTTGAGCCTTTTGTGGAACCTGATTTCAACTCATATTTTAATAAAAAGCAGCAATATTAATATTTGATTTGCATTGGTGGTTGAAGGGCAGTGTCCTTACATGTCCTCTTCACTTTCCAATTTCTGAATGCACCTGAGATCTCCTCTGGGAAGCATTTAGGGCTTAGCTTAGAGTATGTGGTACAGCCTCCCATTTGGAGGATACCTGGGTGGAAGAGGTGAATGTCTTTTTGAATGAGGTGAAGGGTTCTCCACCTGAAGCCAGAAAGTGTTGTGGGGAGGAGGTCTGAGCAGCAGGAAAGAGCCTGCGACATGTCTGCTTGCATAGTTGGTGGTCTTCTTAAACTGGTCAAAGGAATTCAAGGCTGTGACCCTGCGCTTGGCCTTGCAAGGAATGAGTCTTTGGGAACAGAATAATGAATAGGGTATCCCATAGTCCCAGCTGGGGACTTACTGTGGCTGTTTGTAGAGTCCAAGCTCAGGCTGCTGGCTAGACAGTCCTGTTTGAAGACATTGATGGTTAGGACTGCAGGTTGCAGGAGGAATCACTCTAACCGAGCAGAATTTTCTGTTGATGATCTTTCCCCTATATCTGATTGGGCAAGAGTCACAGGATCCAGAACATGCTGGCTGAGATAAGAAGGGCACATGTGAAACCCAGCATATGCTGAAACCCTGGATTTTCCTTATTGTATGCATCCTTACAGTGGGGAAGATTCAGAGGTCATTATCAAACCAGCCTGAATTTGAATCCCAGTTCTGTCTACACGTTAGGTCTCAGGAAAATGACTTTATCTCTGTGAGCCCCAACTTCTTCAGGTAAAAACCATGGTTGATTGTGGAGCAACCTCATCGAGTAGTCGGGATTTCATGAGATCCTGTATATAAAGTGCTGTACCTGGCATATGGTAGGAGTAGCTTTAAAACAAGGGTGAAAACCTGGAACATTGTCAGTGGCGGTTTGAAAGTCGGGCGAGGGGTCTGCAGCCAGCCCAGCCCATTGACAGTGACAGGCCCTGCTGTAAATTCTGAAAGGAGGTTGTTATAAGCTCTGGGAAAAGGTCGCCAGCTGTCGTGAGACCTCATGAGTTCCTGGTGTTCCCAACTAGGCCAAGCCATACTTGGAATTTCAAGCAGGCAATTGACATCAAGGACTGCAGTTTGTAGGCCACCCCTCCCCACCTCCACCAGGTTGGGATTCTTAGGAAGAAAACAAGGAGGGCTGAGTGAGGACTCCAGTCTGGGGGTACTTGTACCACCAATAGGTGATTAGGTACAGGTGTATTAATAGATCCAGATTCAGCAGAACTAGGGAGGACTCGAGAAATAGAATCAGGGAGCAAAGTCAAGGCAGGGCACCTCTCCTGAGATTCCTTCTGCAAGGGAAAAGGACTGGAGCGGGGTGGGGCCAGGCCGTAGCAGTGCATGGAGGGAGGGACGTGTCCAGGTCTGGAGCTGGGGACAGACTTCCAAGGCCTGCTGGCATGTACATAACTCCCTGTGGCGGTCAGAACACAACAAGGCAAGAGACAGCAGATGTGTGATAGAAATAAAACCACTTTACTGTTTAGAATAAAGGACACACTATAAAAAGTGAACATTATGCAACATTACAAGACAATATACATTCACGGAATATAAAATTCATAAATAACATGGAGGAAAACTGTAAACAGTGCTACAAAATTTAGCAACAAATACATTCCTTCTAGACAGGGTTCGAGATCTCTGGTTGGTTTCTCTCCATCACTTCTGGGTTTCAGGACAGCAGACTGGCTAAAGGGAAAGGCGGGTGCTGGGAGAATCTAAGAAGCCCCTACCCCCAAAGCAAAACCTATTTTCCAAGTTCTTCCCTTCCTCTTGCCTCCAAAGAGTCAATTTGGAAATTGTTATCACATCCACCTCCCCTACTTTCTTCCATTTCGTTTTGCTTTTGCCATCAGATTTTTATAATGTTTCTCTCTGATAAAAATACTCTAGTGACATGTTTACCTTAGGTAGCCAGAAGCCATCTTGGGGTAGTCCAGACTGTCAGCTGTCACGTGCAAGACAGAGGTCTGGGGCACGGAAGGGTAGTGTCTCCTGCAGGCCACAGTTTCCCCTAGACAGGGCTATTACAAAAAGTCTTGTTTCTTTAATTGTTCAAGAACCATGTTGCCACCATGAGGCTGGTCTGGAACTAGGGGAGGGTAAAAGACAGGAGTCTCTCGGTATTACCTACCCTGGACAGAGCAGAGCACTGGCCTGAGAGCTGAGAGCCTGGGCGTGGAGCTTCCTTGATTGGCAGGCAGAAGAGATGCCCAAAGGAGGCAGTGAGAACTTGGAATTGTATCTCCTATGGCCCTGGATTCTTAGGAAAATCATGGCTTCCCAACTGGATGGGCAACAGGACTTGGGGTGAAGTAAATGGTAGACTGCCCAGGGCCGGGTGACACAGAACAAGAACATGAATGTACTTTAAACTTTTTTCCTACTCCAGGAACAATTGGGATTCCAATAGGGAGGAGGCTGGAGGAGTCTCAGTTACTAGTTCCTTCTAGTTCCCCCAATTCACCAGTCTAGCTGCTTGCCTAGAAGTATTTTCCTCTCCATTCCACTGTAGAATTTGATTCAGGAAAATGGCGGCATGTGGGTTTCATTTTTTTTTTTTCTCTTAAACACAATGTACACATATTACAGCCTACACATGACACAAGATTTAGCAAAATAAAATGTTCACGATATGATTGAAGTACAGAAGTGTCTCAGCTACATAAATGACTTTAAATTATACAGTAAGTGAACGGGTGAAATAAAAAAGCTATAGCTTATAGAAAGCTCAAAACCGCCCTCTGACATCGCTTTGCAAAAGACCCTTCTTTGCCCAGGGCCTCCTCACCAAAGCCTAACAGATGGAGCTGTGGTTCTGCTAATTTATCGACTCTGCAGGGAAATGTCAGGTGCCTCACGCTCAGCCTTCACCCAAGTTCCTCCTTGTGTGAGAGGGGCTGACCACCCCAGGGAGTGTGAATGGCCAGATGCCCCACAGAGAAGACACTGATGTCCCCTCGTGGGAGGGAGCTTGTGTAGGTCGGTCAGGGGCCCCACCATGCGAGACCTTGAGGTGAAGATAAGGACAATCCCAAAACATCAAGTCTGGGCTCATCCCTTCAAAACCGCTGACCTGCCGGCCTCAGCTTCTTCTGCTCACACTGCCTCTGCCTCACAGAGAAGGCCAAGCCTCCCATTCTCCCCCTGCCAAATGACATGACCGCAGAGGGAAAGGTACATGGTAATGAAACTGATCCCAAGGAAACCCGATGCCTGTACTGTCTTCCCGCTCTGGGGTTCTGCCAAGCACCTTGCCTGGGCACTTGTGTGTGTGCAAGACACTACAATGTGTTGTCTGCTGCTTTTTTTTTTTTTCTTCTTCTTCTCCTGTTTCAATTGGCAGCTCTGTTTCCTAAAGTGGAAGGAACTGAAGATACAAATACTAATAGAAGATAAATACCCATAAGCTGAAAAAAGAGACAGAGAGCAATCATGTTCAATGTCACCATCCTACCACCCCACCCCCCGTAAAATATACATTATCACCTAGTCTCAGCATCTCACTTTTGACACTAAACTTAAAATAATTTTATTTAATAGGAGAATTTATATTATAGTTTTATTTAAAAAAAAAAAAAAAACACAACAGAAACCCTACAACTGGTTGCAAACTCAGGCTTTCCCCAGTGACCAACAATTTTAATTCCAAGAGGTGAGGATCTCAGGAGGTGGCATTCACCCACCGGGGAGCTAGGGAAAGGGGACCAAGCTGTCTCCACACCCAGGAGAGGTGTCCCTCCAGCCGAGGCAGGACGCTGCAGCTCTCCCTCCTGTGCCCAGGCCCTTGACTACACTCTCATCTGCCATCTGAGCCAAGCCAGGAAGGCAGTTAAAAGGAAGGCCCCCAAACATGAAGCAGAGAAAAGGAGACGGACAGGGGTCAGATGACCTGTGATAGGGAAGAGAGGGTGCTGACGGTGTTCAGAATTTCAAATTTTAATTAAAATGAAAAAAAAAAAAATGTCAACTTGGAATGTCATGATTTTCTTCAAACAAGCAACGACAACAAAATAGAACAGATTAAACTATTGGCGTATTTAACAGCATTGAACAGAATTCTGTGTCCTGTAAAAAAAATTAGCTTATGTCCCCATGTGGGTATATGCAAATGTGTATACAAACATATCCCCCTAGGTGAGCTAAACACTATTCTGGAAATAGTATCCTCTACCCAAATCTACTTGGCTATATCTGTGGATAGTGTAAGATGTGTGTATTTCACCAATTTACATAAAAGCAAGCTCCCGGCCAAATCTACCAAAGAGTTTTCCAGGAGGAAATCTGGTGGGAGGCAGGGAGAGGAAAGACATTCATCTCAGTCTTTCACCTGAGCTTTTGTACAAGGCAGGCAAATTGCCTCCTGACCTCAGGCAGATGTTTAAGTCTTCACCAACTAAGAAAGCTCTGTTATTCTGGCCTGGGTGCTTGCTCCAGACTCAGGAACATCTGGTCAATGCAAGCATCACTGGGCTGGGGAACTGCATGTGTGCTGCGTCATCTCCGACTCTCTTGTAGTTCCTTCCTTCCCTCCCTCACTCTTACATGCAGACACAGACAGACAGTCTGGTTGG